TCAATAAATTGTTTTTTTATGGGTAAAACGACAATTTTCTTTGGTTTATTTGTAAATTTTGAATTGTAATGGGATGTCTTAATTTTTTCATTATTTTTTTCATAGATAAATAATTTTGTTACCTTTAAAAGCAAATTATCATTATACTATGGTTTAGGATTTTTTAGACATTTAAATTTTTAAAAGCTGATTTGAGGAGGTAGCTTGTGATTTCAAAGTGATTTTTTTTTGGTAAACATGTTTGGGTCTTGAGAATATAGTATTTTTAAAAGACAAAAAAACACAAACAATTGCTAATGCAAATATTGTGTGCGTCATTATATTAGCTGCTTCGCCGCTTTTAGACGGCACGTGTGGCTGGCTCATGTGCTAAAAAAATATTAGTTCATTGTGTCATTCAATTCATCATGGCCTTATCTTTCTTCCTAAGCGGCGCATATAGTCGCAAAATCTCCGGTGTATTAACAACATTTTTTTTTCTTTTTACTCTTATAAACTTTTGCCAGGCCTTTCATATTTTTATATTAATCCTTCAAGTTATTTCTCTTTTGATTTTGTTCCTTATATTTTGATTTCAATTTTTCTTATTTTAATTCATTTCTCAATTTGGTTTTCTTTTTCATTTGCACCCTTCTTTAATTTATTTTGTCTATTAGATATGATCTTTATTTTTTTTTTTACTTTTTTAAGATAGTTTATGAATCTTTTTTTTTTCAATTTCACCCTTGTATTTTTTTCTCCTTTCATATTTGATGCTCATTCCTTCTTTTTTCTTTGGTTAGTTTTTTAATTTAGATTTTTTTTCAATTTCATGATTTAGTATTAAATTGGTTAACAATTGAAATTCTTAATTGAACCCGGGTTCTCAATTTTACGGGTTGCAAATTTAAAATACTAACCTAGTCCTAGAAGATTCATCTAAATCAATTAGTATGGGTTAAAACAATAAATTTATTGATTTTCCTACAATGGCTTTCATGCTCACCTACCTTCAATTATTGTGGATTACCCATTTTTAATTGATTGAGGTTATTGTTTTCTTTTTTTGTAATAAATTTAAGTTACTGATTAGTACTTAAAAGTGTATTTTTATCAAGATTTTATATCATCATTTTACACTTGAAGTATCAATAACTCCTTAATTAAAGCATGTTTTATAATAACATATCTAATAATATAAGATACTTTTAATTTGTGGCAAATGTTTATCTTAAATGCAGGCCTATCAGATAAATGGAAGGATTAATTGATGAGTTTAAATACTGAAATTGAAAGGACAAAAAAATGACCAAACTTAGAAAAGAGATGCTGGTACAGTCCAAACTGAAATACTGTTCGATAATTAGGTCATATTTGGAGTTGTAGATCTCGACTTTAGGTTTACTTTATATGGATAGAAAGGTAAGACATAGACTTACAACTTTCATTTAGAGTTCAAGATTTAGAAAGGCCGTTTTCACGTCTAAATTGTACCAACAATGAAGAAGTCTAAATCTATCTTACAACCCAGATATTGTTCAGTGTTCAACCCGTATCTAGATTTTTTGGAGTCCAAATGACCTTGATGTTTTTTTTTTTTGGAAAGCTGAGATAATTTCCTACAACTTTTCATATGGAGGTCTGGTTTAAATTATGACGTTATCAATGACTTTTTGAAAAGATAAGAAGATAAGAATTGTCACCAAGTCAACAGTTCGCCACCCACTCAATAATTAGTTATCAAACAATGGTTCTCAATTTTAACCTATAAAAAGAGACATTTGTCATGCATTTAGACATCTTGGTTTCCAGATCAAGATCATGCTCTTACTTTCTCTCTTTATATTTTTATAATGTTTAAATTTATTTTCATTAATATCTTGTTTATGTCTTTCATTTCCTTTTATTTACTTAGTTAACTTTTATCTTATTTATTTATGTTTCTCTCTTTCACTATGTTTGGTTAAGTTTATTATGTCAAGGTGAAAATGTTACACTAATGGTGTAAGAATAAGTATAGTGTAAACTTAACATGGACTTTGTATCAAACATGTTTTGTATTTGTTATCTTGTTCACTTTTAATGCTTTAATTGTTAAATGATTAATTTAGATTTTATGTTGTAGAACACTTAATACAACAAATACTTGGCACTTTTATAGTTCAACCATATGGTATAACCTACACATATGATATAAAAGGAACTTGATTTATTGTTAACATAAATTATAATCATGAATGCTTGACGATATTCGAATAAGATAACTAATGTAATTATGTTAATAATTTATAATCTAATTGGAACCTCCTTTGTGTGTGGTTTCCATTTGAGTACTAAGAGTTTATACTATACTTGTTTGAAATACTATTAGTAGATCCTCTAACCTTGATATTTGTTATTATCATTGTTTAATTTTTACATTGATCTTCCATCTCAAAGTTCTTATCAACTTTCTTTTTCTTCTTTTTCTTCTTCTTCTATTATTATTACTATTATTATTATTATTCTTGTTATTGTTGTTGTTGTTTTGTTGTTATTTATAATTTATATAATTAACCTTTCTATGATTCGACCCTAGTTTTGCTGGATTATTTATTACTTTGATACTTATGTACTTGTGCACAGCTTCCTCTATATTTAGGACATCCTAAGTTATCGATAAACACTTGTGCACTTCTATAATAACTTTATAACTCTTTAATCCAATCATTGTAGATAATATCTCATCATTATTTCAACAACAATTTCACATCTCTTTTGAGTATTAAAAATCATTGGAAATGAAATAAATAAAACAACTTTCAAACCATAACAAAATAATAAACATTAATAACTTGAATAACTTGAGTTAGCTTTACAGGTGTAAGAAGATAAAAATATTTAGAGCACATATTATAAATTCATAATCTATTTATTTACAAACTCAAAAGATACAAGATGCATTAATGTTTATCATCATTAGTTATAGCTAAAAAAGAAATTTATAATATCAAGATACTATTTCTAGTGCTTTGAAGTTGAATATAAAACAAACGATTAACATTATAATATAACCAATTATATATCATCACAGCTATTAAAAGGTTTTTTATACAAAAGTTAAAATTTTGTTGATTTTCTATCTTTTCAACCAATCATTTTCATACTTAAATTTATTGATTAATCAATTTCCTCGTTGTTCTTACAATTAATCAGATTACAATTTTATAAGTGTTTATACTTCAATTATCTCACTTAGATGTAAATCTATCTTTCATTCCATAACTTAGATATAAATCTATCTTTCCATCCCATAGCTTATCTTTGTCAATCCATGTGTCATGATCTCAATGCCATTATTTTCATTAGTTATATCAATCCAAGTGCATACTTATAGTTTTCAAACAATATAAATAAATACTTTAGTACAATCCCAACAAATGTTTAATTTACTATATAAATCCATAAAATATAACTTAAATGCAAATTATATCGGTCTTTATTTTATCCTCTACAATCATGTCAGTCTACCATCTTTTTCATTCACTAAATATGGCTCCAGTAATTAAAAAATCATGGTCTAAGTTTTTGAATCCTAAAAACCTAAATGTGAACAATTTGTTCATCCAAAAACATGAAAACATATATATTTTATTAACCTCTATAAAATCATTTATAACAAAAAAAAAATACTTTAATTGCTTTAAAAGCTCAAAATCAAATGAAACAAAAAATCTTTTTAAGCTTCAATCTGGCTACTTTTTTCTGCATCATTTCAAGTTAAAACTACCTACATTGAGTTTATGTTTCAAAATCAAATTCATATATATCAAAATCGAAGTAATTGGTAATGAAATTTGGGATTAAATAAAAAAATTCAAAGATACAAAGGATTAAATGTAAAAAAATTAAAAATAATGCGATTAAAGTATATATTTGCAAGCCTCTTGAACTACATACATGGGGGAAAGGATATTATTTTTTCTTCAATATCAATTTAGATCCATGCTTTTTTAATTTTGTTTTTTGCAATTATTAAAAACTCTTTCATGTAAAATTAACATGGCATTCAATTCTAAATAACACTTGACATCTCGGTCACATGATAATACGTAATTAAAAAAGATAAAAAAATCTAGGACAATCAAAGAATAATTATTAAGGACTAATTTAAAAAAATAAGTTCGATGATTACATTAAAACAAATCTAAAATTTAAGGGGCTTTAGAAAGAAAATTAGCCAAGTGAACAATAGTGGAAAAAATTAACGGTTTTTTACATATATAGTAATTTTACTACCAATCTCATTTAGTTCTTGTTAATTATTAATTGTGAATTTAATGTTATTAAGAGTAATATTACTCATCATTTATATGCTAATTAATTTCCACCAAACTTTTAGATTCTTGGTAACATCCTGCCCAAATATGATGGTTCTTACGAAACTTCTAGAGCTTCTCTTTAATTTTCAAAAAAAGGAGAAAAAAAAATGAAGAGAATATTTCCCACGTTTAAATTACAGCTTGCTGGGGAAATTAAGGAATCTGTAAATCAGAAATAAACTGATCTATGAACAAAACCCAGCCACACCACCATTAAAGGACAAAAAAAATAACAGAAGGATAAAAATAGAAACCATTTCAACAAAGACTAATTAGCTTTGAAAGAGCAAATCCTATGGCTGTCATTAAATCAGCATAATGATCAATATTAATAAACATAATTTATCAGTTGCTTGCTAGTCAATGAGAGAAACCTCGCCCGAAAATCCAACCCCGGTCACAGAAGGGCATTTTCGGGACAGTACAAATTAAAGAGAGAGAAGATGAAAAAAAAACAACAACAAAATCTGGCTCAAACAAAAACACGACAGAAGAGAGATATCAAGATAAACAAGCACCGTCATCGTATCATATGAGCTACAATCTAATTAATAGCATAATTAAGTATGTTAATCTCTTTCACTACTTGTAAAGCTAATCACACTTTCAAAGCCCATCTGAAAAACCACCTTTGAAGAACATGAAGAAACGATATATAGCTTATAAACGGAGGGTAAGGTCAATTTTTGCAGTGACGACATTAGGATCATCATCAGCTGCTGAAAGATCATTACGATAACCAGTATCATGTTCAAGAGAAGTAGTAGCTGCAGACCCGTCATAAAGCATACCATACTGAGGAACCGAAACATAGACACCTGAGGAAGGCAATGGAAACTGGTAGTTTCTATTCATCACGGGGTCAAGCGCCTGAAGCTGGTGGTATTGGTTCAAAAATGTTACTGCTGGAGGACTGGTTGTTTCTGGGTGGTTATGGTTAACAAATGATGAATGTTTCCTCAAAGAGGGGTCTGTTGAGATAGGAGTGTTGAGGGTTTTGTTGTTTCTGCGTTGAGCGGCTCTTTCACGTCTGTGGGCATTTTGATGGCCACCGAGAGCTTGAGGGGTGTAGAACCTGCGCGGACAGAAAAGGCATTGAAAGTGACGATAAGATGAGGGATATATGGGTAGGTTTGTTGAGCTCTTTTTTGTGGGCGTTGAAGTAGAAGAGGGGTGCTGTTGGTGTTGATGGTTGAGGAAGTTGTGCATTAATGATGGGTCTGCCATTGTTGTTTCAGAGAGAAGAGAAGAGATTAGAGTGCGGGGGGGCAGCGAGGGAGAGAAGGAGGTGAGGTTTTCATGGGGTTTAAGGTTTTTGTTTGTACGTGTAGAGAGAACGGAGGGTTATGATTGGTTGTGAATAAATGGACGGAAACGCCCCCTCTTTGTTTTCTTACACACGGGCTGTTTTCAGCATTTATTGGTTTTTTTTAATTTTAATTTTAATTTCCTACGTGGAAGATGTTGGTGTTTTTAACGACATATCTCTAATTAATTAAGACTGTGATTTTAGTTATCCCATTATAATATATAATGGGAAAACAAAACGTAAATATATTGAATAGTTACATGAAGTCATGGGTGCATTTGCCATCCAATTGCTCAAATCATGCCACTTTCCTAATTAAGTAATATCATTATGACAAGACATTAAAAGGTTGTTATTCTAGGCCGGCTGGCATCGTCATCATTCTTAGTATTTTCAGATTGTATGTTGATGTTAAAAATGATTCTAGGCCGGCTGGCATCGTCATCATTCTATATTTTTGTCTTTTATTTTTATTTTCATTAAAGTTTTATTATTTTTATACCCATCTTTATTTATATCAAAGTTAAGTGGTGTTCCTAATTGAAGCCGCATCTGTTTTTTTATTAAGATTTAAAGAAATAATCTTATTTTAAATTTATTTTTTAGTATTTTCAGACTGTATGTTGATGTTAAAAATGATTTTTTAAAAAATAAATAACATATTATTTTAATATATTTCTAAATATAAAATATTTTAAAAATAATATGTATCTGAATTTTGTATGTCTCCTTTCTTACTAGAAAGGGCAAGATTTACTTTATTTTATATTTAATTTTTATTAAATAAAATAAATAGATCATATAAAATTGAATATTTTATATTTATTAAATATTTTTTTATAAAAGTAATCTTGTAAATCATTTTACATGTAAATCTTAAAAATCATAAATATATTAAATTATATATAAACTCGAGTATAAAGGTCATTATGATATTATATTGACCAAATAAATTGAGTAATTTTATCCGCATCCACCTCTACTTCAATTTAAAAAAAAAAAAACATTTCTCCACACCCACTTTTATTATAGGATATGGAGATGAACCTCGAAAAAATAATAACTTAAAATCTCCGCATCATATTATGGGATTGGAAAAAACTCGGTGATTTGAGCATGTGTTCGAGTAAAACGGTCCAATGTCTAGCTCACATGCTATATCTAACAAGAAGAAGAAGAAGAAGAAGCTAGGACTGCTTTTAGCTCATTTCAGCTGGAGTGCTTCTAGGGCATTCCTTAATCTTCATCAAGCACATGAAAGACGAGAAGAAAGAATTGTTTTTTATATATATATATATTTGATCATTGTAATTTTTGCCATCTCTAAACTTTCTAATTTTTTCATATTTGATCCTTGTAATTTTTAATTTTTGACATTTCAATCCTAAAATTTTATTTTTCTCATGTTTAAATCTTTAGATATTGAGAGATAAGAGAAAGATATTAGGAAAAAAAAAAAGAGAGAAATATTTTGGTTGGTCATATTATGCTCATAAAATAATCAATTTTGATATTAAAAGGATTATTTTATAAAAGGAAATCTGATAAGAATGATTGAACTTTTAATCATGTCAAGTAAAATAGATTACAATTCATAATTTTTTTATATTTAATTTAATTTGAGTTTTGAGCTAATTAGAGAGTATTTTAAAATTAAGAATAATATTATTGAGATTCATTTATATATCTATATATATATATAGAGAGAGAGAGAGAAAGAGTTAAAATTTGAGTTTTATGATCTAAATTGCTTAAACATTGATTTTTAAGCCATTAGAAATGACTATAATTAAAATTTAGGTTTTATTATGTAAATTGCTTAGACATTGATTTTTGAGCCATTAGAAATTACTATAATTTGTTGTAATAGATTATATATTATTTGTTAAGATGCGTGTGGTTTTTTCTTTAAGGTCAGATAAAAAAAGTTTGGTTTTTAAATCTAGGAGCACCTGGGTAAATTTTTTTTTTTTACAATATTCTAAAATAAAAAATTTTCAAATAAAATAATTACAATGATATTTCTGAAAGTCATATGATTATACTATACTTTTTAAATGGTAATCTTAGAGATTTTTAAATAATAATATTATCAATTATTTTATGAATGATTATATATGAACTTAATATGCATAATGTTTTGTGAAAAACATTCGTCATGCATTTTCAATGAGAATGAATGTTTTTATTTATTTATTAATTTACCATGGAGAGGTTTTTATACAATTTTCTCAAATTAATTATTCCTATATTATCACATATTAGCATAGAGATTATCAAAAAATAATTTTATTGCTTTTTTATTTGAACTTGTTTTTCAAGTCATGATAAATTTTATTAAAAAGATATGATTAATAAAAATATATATAAGTTATTTTCTACATGGATTTATTAAATTAATTATTCTTTTATTTTTTATATATTCATGTATAAATTATAAAAGAATGTTTTTTAGATTGAAGCTTGCTTTTTTTTATTATGATAATTTTTTATTTTTTTGAAAAAGGATTTTATTAAAAAAAACATGTTTTTATCAAAAAAAAAGAAATACATGAATAGGGAATGGGAGTTTTTATTAAAGGGATAATTTTTTCTTTTTAATTTAAATCAATGAAATTCTTACGAGTATTTATTTTAATTACCTTAAGTTTCAATTCAAAAGATCATGTTTCTAATAAAACATCCATTTTTCCACAAAAAAAAATATAAATGTTTAAGTAGGAAAGAAGAAATTTGACTAAATTTCTTTTTTCAAAATATATATTTTTGTTGATTGTTTTATATTTTTTTAATTTCCACAAAATTCAAAAAAAAAAAAATCGAAAAGGCCTTGAAGGACCACCATACTATTATCTCAACTACTTTAAAAATAATATAATTGATTTCTATTTTTTATTTGAGTACCTAATCTTTATTTGTATCTATTTGAGTTACAATTTTATTATTATTATTTTTTTCAACTTGTAGGTCTCACGCATCGAAATCCAGAATGACCTTCTCTACATGTTGAGATTGCTTGGGGATATTCCATGCAGCAACTGTGTCCACTTCCATTAAATTCACTTTTTAAGTTCCCCATATATATGCCCAGAAGAAGCCATAGAGACCTTCTGGCCCAGGAATGTCTGCATTGATATTAACAGCCATGAAGGACAAATAAAATAGTTGGAGGGTATAGTTGAATTAATTAATTTTTAAATTTATTTTTAAAAATTATTGATTTAAATATTATAAATTTTATGATTATTATAAATTTATATAATTATTAATTTCAGTAATCATGAAATTAATTGAGACACAAAGAAGTTAACTCGGATATATATATATATATATATATATATAAAAGCACATAGACCATGGACATGCATGCTTACAATTGATTACATCATAGAATTAAAGCAGCAATCAATTAACAGAATTTTCGTGAGTTTTGATTGGAAAGAATTAACATATATCATTCTCTAGGGAGGTGATAGTGATCGGTGAACATCAAGGAGCTGAATGCCAAAACGGAACAAATTGCTCATGGTGCATCTATTCCCATAACAAATTTTGATGGGTTGGCCTCAAAATCTCGCCAGAATTATATGTACAAACTCAAAAAATAAATCAAGGATAAAATTGGCTAAAGGAATAGAATAACAAATTGGAGAAATGCTTAATCATATAAAGATAAATAGAGTTATTAACTCAAAGCAAATTTTTTGAAGAATATATATTAAAAAAAGAATTAAAAGAGAAAGGATTTTTATTGTATCTTTCTTTCTAAAACACTATTTATTATAATAATATTTTGTTTTTTTTTCCATACATACTTTTTTTTTAATATTATATTTTTTTATTGGTTTATCCCACTCTTATGGCATGAATTGCGGGTTTGGTAAATTAACCTAATTGACTCAAAGTTTTTTTTATATATAATATCATCCTTTAATATTTGATTAAATCAATGATTTTTTTTAATCCTTTAATATTGGTTATGACATGAATTGCGGGTTTGGTAAATTAACCTAATTGACTCAAAGTTTTTTTTTAATTTTTTAATAATATCATCCTTTAATATTGGGTTAAATCAATGATTTTTTTTAATCCTTTAATATTATATTTGTTCTTTATTGAGTTATCCTAATCTCAAGACATATATCACGAATTTAGCGGGTTAACCAGATTGATTCGAGTTTTTTTTCTTAATTAACTCTTAGTTTTCCAACTTCATCGTTTTAATATTAGCTTAATTGAGAATTAAATTTTATAATTTATTTTGTTTGCTTTCCATTAGGTTATTTTAACTAGATGACATGAGAATATATATTACTTAACGGGTTAACCTAATTTGACTCGAGCTATTTTTATGTTAATTTTTTAAATTAATATTTTATTCAATTTCATCATTTAACAATGGATTGGTTGGGGATTACACTTTAAAATTTATCTTGATTTGCTTTCTTTAGAGATATCTTAGTTTTATGATGAAGATCGTAGGTTTTGATATTTTAACATCGGTTAAATTAGGTTACTTTTTTTTTATAAGAGGTTATCTTGGTCTTATAACTTAGATTACGAGTCCTTTTGTTTTGGTAAGTTGACGTATATATTAAAGGAAAACGATACAAAGATTATAAGGGGCATACCCCAGATTTACAATGAGAACAGAAATATAAAACAACAGATGGCTACAGGCTAGCCACCAAACAGAAAACTCAAGACCTAACTTGATTAGTTAGGGAAACCAATACAACCAGCTAAATATCAAATGAAGAATCTATGTTATTAACCCTCCATGCTCGTTGGATTCTTTTATTTTCATCTGTTGGTAGAACGTTCCTCATCAAATCAAGCTTATCACGGATGATACATTCAATTTGATGAAAGACCAAATTCTGAGTTCTAGATATTCCAGCAAAGGTCCTTGCATTCCTTTCTTGCCAGATATGATACACTGTAGCTGCAAAACTGAGTTTACGAGAAAAATTAACAAAACTTTTGCCATGCCAAGTGACAGTGGCCCATCGAATCCATTCATCCCATCCTTTTGTCATTCTTGGAATGTTGCATCTGTCA